AACGAGTGCAGGCCTTGTTACCAGAGCACTATCCTCGCAGACGAACATTCTGTCAGTGGTTTTTGCACAAAAACATTGAAAATCCGGATTTTTTAAAAACATTCTAGCGACGGACGAATGTACTTTTACGCGAGACGGGATATTAAATTTCCATAATACTCACAGGTGGGCCCAAAAAAATCCTCATACCATTCGTTAAGGTCGTAATGAAGCTTGTGTGGAAAGTGGAGGTCGACATTTTGAACACCTTCTCTAAATACAAAAAAGTGCAGTGTGGGATTTAAAAAGAAAAACAATGTATGTATCAAAATTGTGTTCCCTATTTATAAGTGGATTTTTTTTAATACGTTCATTAAACTTCCACACACCAGGTGAAACGCTGAGACAGTTAGTGGTAAGTCCGTTTTTTTTTTAGTTGATTGCATTTTCGAGTACATTATCAAATAATGAAATAATACCTAAGAGCCAAAAATAACAAACTCAACCTTTATTTACACTGCGTTCCGTCGTAATTTGCGTCTGGCTTTGCGGCGTTGTCAGAATTTATTTTACCTTAAAGTCATGTGTACAAAAATTGTGCATTTATTTCTAGTAATGAAACAATGGCTTCGTTCCAACAAAGCCGTGTACCGTACAGTGAATCGTAATGAGCATGTGTAGTACGTTTTAAGTGACACTAAAAACGTACTGCGCATGCTCATGATGGTTCACTGTACGGTACACGGGTTTGTTGGAACGAAGCCAAAATGATGCACCAAAAAATTAAATAGGCAACTATGGCTGTATATATATATATGTGTATATATGTATATGTATGTGTGTCTATATATATGTATGTGTATATATGTATATACGTATATATGTATTATGTATGTGTATATATGTGTGTATATATTTACTCGTATATGCGTACCTATTATTTTTTTTCTATTTTTATTGTACTTACTTCTTTTACACCTTAATCTGTTTATTATTATTGTATCTGTTGTTTTCTCGACTAAACTGTGTTTTTTTCCATTTTTAACCGACAAATTTATGTATTTATACTTAACTATATTTTTAATTTTTGTAGATAATAATGTACTCATAGAGATATGCCTGACGAGTCTTATATCATTTTTATGATCCGAAGACAATAAAGCATCTATCTATCTCTCTATCTATTGCACCCACCCACATTTAACATCAATAAATTCGACAGTACTTTAAGTTAACTAGGATATTTTCAAATACTACCAAAGAAAAGCACATCATGCCTATGTTAAGCATATGTTTAGCATAAATGCCCTCAATTCATCTAAATATGTGTGCATTTTTTTACACCGAAGCAGCCGCATAGGCAGAAGTCTAAATGCCAGTGCAACGCGGCTGCTATGAGGATCCCAAAGAAACTTTTTTAATCCGATTGTTTAAACGGCGTAAGGTTAGTAGAACTGGAAAAAGCATCCTCTTAAAGATTGTTCTACAATCTCCACACCCTAGGGACAAAGGAGCGGACATATCGGCCAGTCTCACATGTATGAAGTTTGACACGGTTACCATGCGAGGCCGAAGTCAGGCACGTCTGTCTGGCATGCATATCGCTCTTAAATGAAATTTCTTCTTCTTTCTAATCTGGGTATAATTTATTTGAATGGATTTCAAAAATGAAACTATATATTTCATCATGGAGGGCACTTATAATTCATGTTTAGAAGAATGTACAAAAACATACACTATATTTTTTAAATCACCCTGTACATGTACCGACTACA